TTTTCACTAAGCATTCTACCCTGTAGAGCCATCCATGTTGTTGCAGATGGCAAGCTCTCAATCTTTTTTTTTTTTATGGCTGAATGATATTCCATTATATGTATACTACCTCTTCTTTATCCATTCATCAATCAGTGGACACTTGTGTGCTGCCTTCGTAATTTGGCTGTCGTAAATAATGCTGCACTAAACATAAGGGTGCGTGTATCTTTTCAAATTAGTGTTTTCATATTCTTTGGGTAAATACCTAGTAATGGGATTACTGGGTCATAAGGTACTTCTATTTGTAATTTTTTGAGGAATGTCCCTACTGTTTCCCCACAGTGGCTGCCCCAGTTTGCGTTCCCACCAATAGTGCACAAGAGTTCCTTTTTCTCCACATCCTCACCAAAACTTGTTTCTCGTGTCATTGATCTTGACAGATATGAGGTAGTATCTCGTTGTGATTTTGATTTGCTCTTTCCTGACGATGAGTGATATTGAGCATCTTTTCATTTGTTGGCCATCCGGATGGCTTCTTTGGAGAAATGTCTATTCATATCTTCTGTCCATTTTTATTGTTTTTCTGGTGTTGAGTTGTGTAAGTTCTTTATATATTTTGGATACTAACCCATTATCAGATATGTCACTTGCAAATACCTTCTCTCACTCCGTAGGTTGTCTTAGTTTTATTGATTATTTCCTTTGCTGTGCAGAGCTTTTTTATTTTTAGTTTATTCTAGCTTTCCTTTCTCTTGCCTCAAGAGGCGTATCTAGAAAAAAGTTGCTACGGCCGATGTCAGAGAAATTACTGCCTATGTTTTGTTCTTGGATTTTTGTGATTTCGGGTCTTACGTTTAGGTCCTTAATCTATTTTGAGTTTATTTTTGTGTATGGTGTAAGAAAGTGGTCCAGCTTCGTTCTTTGGCATGCAGCTGTCCCGTTTTCCCAACACCTTTGTTGAAGAGACTGTTCTTTTCCCATTGCATATGCTTGCCTCACAATCCTTTGTTGAAGATTAATTGACCCTATAATTGTGGGTTTATTTCTGGGCTCTCTATTCTTTTTCATCGATCTATGTGTCTGTTTTTGTGTCAGTATCTTACTGTTTTGATTACTACAGCTTTGTAGCGTATCTTGAAATCTGGGATTGCGATACCTCCAGTTGTATTCTTTTTCAAGATTGCTTTGGCTATTCAGGGTCTTTTGTAGTTTCATGCAAATTTTAGGATTATTTGTTCAAGTTATGGGAAAAATGCTGTTGGTATTTTGATAGGGATTACATTACATCTGTAGATTGCTTTGGGTAGTATGGACATTTTCACAATATTTGTTCTTCCAGTTCATGAGCACAGACTATCTTTCCATTTGTGTCACCTTCAATTTCTTTCATCAGTGTTTTATAATTTTCAGAGTACAGGTCTTTCGTCTCCTTGTTTAAGTTTATTCCTATGTATTTTCTTCTTGTTGGTGCAATTGTAAATGGAATTGTTCTCTTAATCTTTCTATTACTTCATTATTAGTGTATAGAAATGCAACAGACTTCTGTATATTGACTTTGTATCCTGCAACCTTACTGAATTCATCTATCAGGTCTAGTAGTTTTTTGGTGGAGTCTTTAAGGTTTACTCAATAGAGCATCATGTCATCTGCAAATAGTGAACATTTTTCTTCTTCCTTATTTGGATTCCTTTTATTTCTTTATGTTGTCTCAGTGCAGTGGCTAGCACTTCCAGTACTCTGTTGAATAAAAGTAGTGAGAGTGGACATCCTTGTCTTGTTCCTGATCTTAGGGTAAAGCTCTCAGTTTTTCATCATTGAAGATGATGTTAGCCGTGGGTTTTTAATATATGGGCTTTATTATGTTGAGGTATGTTCCCTCTAAACCTACTTTGTTGAGGGTTTCTATCATGAATGGATGTTGTACTTTGTCAGATGCTTTTTCTGCATTTATTGAAAGGATCATATGGTTTTTATCCTTTCTCTTGTTTCTGTGTTGTATCATGTTGATTGATTTGTGAATATTGAACCACCCTTGCATCCCAAAAATAATTCCCACTAGATTGTGGAGGATGATTTTTTTTTAATGTGTTAATGGATTTGGTTTGCTAATATGTTATTGAGGATTTTTGCATCTGTGTTTATCAGAGGGATTGGCCTGTGATTTTTTTTTTTTTTTGTAGTTGCCTTTATCTGGTTTGGTGTCAGGGTAATTCTGGCCTTACAGAATGAATTTAGAAGCTTTCCTTCTATTTTTTGGAATAGTTTGAAAAGAATAGGTATTAACTCTTCATTAAATGTTTAGTAGAAATTCACCAGTGAAGCCATCTGGTCCTGGACTTTTGTGTGTTGGAAATTTTTTGATTACTCTTTCAGTTTCATTGCTGGTAGTCAGCCTGTTCAAATTTTCTATTTCTTCCGGTTTTAGTTTTGAGAGGTTATATGTTTCTGGGAATTTATCCATTTCTTATAGGTTGTCCAGTTTGTGGGCATTTAATTTTTCATAAGATCCTCTTGTAATCCTCTGTATTTCTGTAGTGTGGGTTGTTATTTCTCCTCTTTAATTTCCGATTTTTCTTATTTGAGCCCTCTCTTTTTTTGATGAGTGGCTTAACAGTTTACTAATTTGTTCATCTTTTCAAAGAATCAGTTCCTGGTCTCATTGATCTTTTTTTTCTTTTTTTTTTTTTTTTTTTAGTTTCTATTTTGTTTATATCTGTTCAGATTTTAGTATTTGCTCCCTTCTACTGGTTTGGGTTTTCTTTGTTCTTTTTTCTAGCTCTCTTAGGTGTAAGGTTAGATTGTCTTTTTGAGATGTTTCTTGCTTCTTGAGGCAGGTCAGTATTGCTTATATTTACCTCTTAGCACTGCTTTTGCTACATCCCAAAGATTGGGGATTGTTGTGTCTTCATTTTCATTTGTCTCCTAGCATTTTTTGATTTCTTCTTTGACCTCTTGGTTGACCCATTCATTGTTTAGTATCATGTTATTTAATCTCCATGTATTCGTGTTCTTTCCAGATTTTTTTCTTGTGGTTGATTCCTATTTTCATAGAATTGTGGTCAGAAAAGATACATAGTATGACTTGATTCTTTTTGAACTTGTTGAGACTTGTTTTGTGGCCTAATATGTGATCTATTCTGGAGAATATTCCATATGAACTTGAAAAGAATGTGTATTCTGCTCTTTTAGGATGGAATGTTCTGAATATATCTGCTAAATCCCTCTGGTGCAATGTGTCGTTCGTAGCCACTGTTTCCTTGTTGATTTTCTGTTCAGATGATCTGTCCATTGATGTAAGTGGGTCCCCTACTATTATTGTATTACTATCGATTACTTCCTTTATGTCTGTTATTAACCGCTTTATGTATTTGGGTGCTCCCACGTTGGGTGCATAGATATTTACAATTGTTATGTCTTCTTGTTGGATTGTCCCCTTAATAATTATTTAGTATCCTCATTTGTCTCTTGTTGCAGTCTTTGTTTTAAAGTCCATTTTGTTGGATATAAGCATTTCTACCCCAGCTGTCTTTTTACTTCCATTTCCGTGATGAATGTTTTTCCGTCCCTTCACTTGCATTGTGCATGTCTTTAAGTCTGAAGTGAGTCTTGTAGGCCATGTTTAGATGGGTCTTTTTTTGTACATCTGTCAACCTGTGTCTTTTGATTGGAGTGTTTAGTCCATATACATTCAAAGTACGTTTTGATGGATATGTACTTAATGCCTTTTGTTACTTGTTTTATGGTTTTTGTAGTTCTCGGTTCCTTTTCTTACTCTTTTCTTTCACAGTTTGTTAGCTTTGTTTAGTGATATACTTGGATTCCTTTTTCTTTATTCTGTTCATATCTATTACTGGTTTTTGAATTGTGGTTATCATTAGGTTTATATATGACATCTTATGCATATAGCAGTCTGTGTTAAGTTGATGGTCACTTAAGTTGGAACCCATTCTAAAAGCGCTAAATTTGATAGGTTTCCCCTCCCCCCTCTCATTTTAGGTGTGTGGTGTTATACTTTACATCCTTTTATTTTGTGACTCCCTTGACTGATTTTTATAGATTTACTTAATTTTCCTGCCTTTATGCTTCCTACTTTTCTTTTCTTTTTTTTTTTTTTTAAAGATTTTATTTATTATTTGACAGAGAGAGACACAGTGAGAGAGTGAACACAAGCAGGGGGAGCGAGAGAGGGAGAAGCAGGCCTCCCGCCGAGCAGGGAGCCCAATGTGGGGCTCGATCCCAGGACACTGGGACCATGACCCGAGCCGAAGGCAGACGCTTAACGACTGAGCCACCCAGGCGCCCCTGCTTCCTACTTTTCTTAATTCTGCTTATGGTCTTTCCTTTCCACTTAGAGTCCACTTTAACATTTCTTGTAGGCCTGGTTTAGTGGTGCTGAATTTCTTTAACTTCTGTTTGTCTGAGAAACTCTTTATCTCTCCTTCTATCCTGAATGATAACCTTGCTGAGTAGAGCATTCTTGGTTGTAGCTTTTTTTCTTTGAGCACTTTGAATATATCATGCCACTCTCTTCTGGCCTGTAAAGTTTCTACTGAAAAATCCACTGATAGCCTTAGGGATTTCCCTTGTATATAAATGTTTTCTTTTCTCTTCTGCTTTTAAAAGTCTCTCTTTATCACTACTTTTTGTCGTTTGAATTATTACTTGTCTTGGTGTGGATCTCCTTGGTTTGATTTTGCTGGGGGCTATCTGTACCTCCTGGATTTGGGTATTTTCTTTCTTTCCTAGATTTGGGAAATTTTAAGCTGTTATTTCTTCAAGTAAGTCTTCTGCCCCTTTTCTCTCTCTTCTTTTTCAGGGGTCCCTATAATGTGAATATTATTACACTTGATGATGTCACTGAATTCCTGTAAATCTATTTTCATTTTTTATTGTTTTTTTCTCCTGTTTCTCTCTCCTATTTCTCTCCTATTGATTGCTTTCCATCATCCTGTCCTCCAGGTCACTGATCTGTTCTGCTTCCTGTAGTCCACTACTTATTCCATCTAGTTTTTTTTTTTTTAATTTCAGTTACTATATTCTTCATGTCTGATTGTCTTTTTATTTTCTGTCTTTTTGTTGAGGGTCTCACTGAGGTCCTCCACTCTTTTCTCAAGTCCAGTGAGTATCTTTCTGACCATTACTATAAATTCTCTATCAGCGTATTAATTATCTTTGTTTCATTTATGTCTCTTGCTGATTTTGGTCCTGTTCTTTCATTTGAGACATACTCCTCTGTCTCCTCATTTTGTCTAACTCTCTGTGTCTGTTTCTGTGTGTTAGGAAAGTCAGCTATGTCTCCTGCTCTTGAAGGTAGTGTCCTTATGAAGAAGAGGTCCTGTAGTTTCCAGCAGTGCCGTGTCCCCTGTTCACCAGAACCTGGCACTCAGGGGTGTCTAGTATGTGTGTTGTGTGCACCCTACTATTGAGGCTGAGCCACTTTTTCCTTCATTCCAATTATGTGCAGTGGCTCTCTTTCCCTGTTGTGGGCAGGGACTGTGTTGTTCGTGGGCCGGGAAGGGGAGGGGGGCGCCTTGGACTTGATTTGTCAGACCAGGAGTTTGCCAGAGATGCAGTAGCACCGAACTGCAGTGCTGTCCCCTAAGAAGCTTTCGTTGGTGGGCAGGGCCTGCAGTCAGACCAGATATCTGCCTCTAGACACTGCTGGAGCTGCATTGGACTGGTGTGCGTGTGGTTGACACTCACTCTCCCCAGGGCAGGAGTTGCTTTGGAGTGGTGCTAGCCCCTGTCAGCTTGCAGAGCTGCTTTGGATGGTCTCTGGCCAGGGGTATTGGAGGGAGGTCTGCAAGAGAATGCCGTGTGGAGCATGTGGTGTTAGCAAGGTTTGCAGTGGTCTACTGTGGGAGGGGCCCTGGAGCAGAGGCCTAGTTGGAGGGGGTGTGTCCGCACAAGTGCTCAGGGCTGGGGCACGCTATTAGCAAATTGCGTGGAGAGTGTTGTCCTGGCACTGGTTCCCACAGGTGTTCATGTATCTTGGCTGGGGGACAGGGAAGGGGAATGACCCACTCTTCTTTGTTCCTGGAGAAGTCTCCCAAAGATCCCTGCCCCTCCATCACAGGCTGTGAGATTAGTAAACAGACTTCCCTCCCGCATATCCCAGATGCTTTTCAAACTGCTGGCTTCTACGCTGTGTCTCCACAGGGCTGTTTGTTGTGCTGTCTCCTTAAGGCAGGGACTCCCATTTCCTCTCACCCTCCCAGTTCCCCCAAGCCAAGCACACTGATTTTTTAAAGTTCCAGGTGTTAAGCCCCACTGATTGTAAGAACTCATGAAATTATGCCCTGCTGAATTTCAAAGCCAGATGTTATGGGGATTTGTCTTCCCCAAACAGGTACCCAGTGCATGGGATACCTGACATGAGGGCCTGTTTCCCTCCCTTTTCCACACCCACTGCACCCCTCCCTCCTATAGACAGTCCTGGAGGTCTTCACCCTTCCTATCCTCTTTGTTATGGCCTCTTTTCTACATTGAGCTATGGAGAGTCTGTTCTGCCAATCCTGTGGTCGTTCTCTGGGTTATTCACATTGATGTGGGCATTACCTAGTTGTATCCATGGGAGGAGGTGAGCCTAGGGTCTTCTTACTCCACCATCCTCCCCGGAAGTCGATTTCACTTTTAAGCTACTGGTATCACATAATGAAGTATTCTAGAGAGTAGAGTCCATAGAGTGGTCTAATCCTGTCTTATAATTTGTTGTTGCTGTTGTTTGGGTTTTTGATTGGTTTGGGCTGGTTTGGTATTATGTAAGTGCTTGTTCTGTGCCAGGCACTGTTCAGATGCGGGGGACACGAAGATGAAAAAGAGGTATCCCACCGTTAAATTGCTTATTACCTGCATACACAATAGAGACAGACAATTACGATAAGTTTGACACAGACTGTTTTAAGCCCTTAGAGGTTTTTGTGGTAATAAGATCATTGTATTTCCTTTGCCATTCATCTTACCCTAACGCCTCATTCCCCATTTCCGACAGTAAGAAGGATACAGTGGTCCGCCGACGAGAGCTCTTAGAGGCCATCTCTCCTGCTTTGTTAAGCTACCTGCAAGGACACGCCCAGGAACTGGTGCTGGATAAGTCTGCGTGTGTGTTGGTGTCCGACATTCTGGGAGCCGCCATCGGAGACGTTCAGCCTGCCATGAATGCCATTGCTGGCTTGGCAGCGGCAGCGCTCCAGCCAGGTGGCAGGGATGGAGAGGTAATGTGCTACTGCAAGACAGGTGGGAAGCGCCAGTGTCGCAAAAACCCCAGTCACTGAGAACATTGCTGTAAAGAGAATTTGAATGCTCATTGTCTCAACTCATCCCATACTGACAGCACATCTGATCATTGTGAATTCAAAATACAGTGCTGTTGCAGCACCCTCTTTTCTCAGAATCTTCCTGTGACTTCATATTACCTACACAGGAGGAGAAACAGAATCTTCTTAATGTGGCTCTCTGTTGTCCACAGTTGGCCCCAGACTGCCTTTCTAGCATCTTTCTGTGCTCTTGATTCTATTTTGAATTTGCTGTGGATTTTGGCACCTCTCTGCATTTGCACATGTTTCTTCCCTTAGCCTAGATGCTACCTGTGTCTCCATTTTGCTGTGCTGTCACTGTAGAAGGCCTCACTCAGCCTGCAAGGTGCCCGGAATCCTTCTCACGGAAGTCTTCCCCAGTTCCTTCTAATTGAAAAAGTCTGCTCTTTCTGATAGCTCCTGCCTTGTTATTTGGTCCTTGAGTAGTTCTGTCTTACATCTGAAGTTCATGGATTCACGTACCTGATTTGTGTGAGGCAGTGGTCGGCACCGTTACCCCCCACCAAGCTTACTGTTTTGTTGAGCACAATATTTAAATGAACATGTACACAGATAATTACGTAAGTTAGGATCGAGATGAGCACTGTGAGGGAAACTGTGGGACTGTATGAGAATGGGAGCCAGCCTGTCTGTAGGAAGGCTTCCCTGAAGCAGTGAAAGCTACGCCAAAACCAGAGAGTTGTGGCTCAGTAAAGAAAGGGAGAAAGAAGATTGTAGGCAGAGGGAAGAGCACGTGCAGCAGTCCGAAGGAAGAAGGGGCCTGGCACAGTTGAGAACAGAAGGCTTAGGTATTCAGGGTAGGAGATCAGCTGGCAGAGGAAAGAGAGGAGCAGAAGGCAGACCGGGCAGGGCCTTTGTCCTGCACTAGGTCGTAAGCTTGGCGAGCAGACACATGTGCGGAGCCTGCTGTGTCCTGATGTGGCCCACATCCCTTAGAGAAGCCCTGGACTTGCCCTCGTAGAGCAGAGCAGATTATCAAGCTGGGAAGATGTACGTATAATGAGTTTTCTCCCTAGGAGACTGAGCGTTGTCCCCCATGCTCCATAAGGAGAGATCCTAAGTATGTGGGACCAGCTGATATTTAAACATCATTCAGCACCAGCTTTCCGTGTTTCTCTGCTGTAACGTTTTGTCCCACAGATTTATTTGTACCTAAGAACTGCTCTTGCAACCTGAACGGTGGTTAGCGTGATCTTGAGACAGGCACCGTGCTGGTACCATTCAGCTGGGGGCTCCTGAAGCTGAGCCACAGTGCTTTTTAGTGGCTCCCTTGAACATCCGAGTGTCAGTCTGGGGATTAGACTAAATCGCTGGTCCCTTCGGGTATTCGTGGTCATTCTCTGTAAAGACCTCCTCAGCATTGCGGAACTTTCCACGTGGCCATGTCCTCACCTCTGCGAGGTAGAGAACAGATGGTAGGCCAGGGCGTGGCTAAAGACGGCTTTGTATGTTTTCCTTCCAGCTTCACGTTGCAGAGCATCCCGCAGGACATCTAGTTCTGAAGTGGTTAATAGAACAAGATGAGAAGATGAAGGAAAGTGGAAGAGAAGGTAGGCTGTAAAACTTGAACTTCTCCCATATCGTCTGTGGAATTTCCTAATCCCCGGCAGCCCTGAACTTGATGCCCGCCATTTATGTTCAGATGAAATTTGTTGAGTGTTTAGAAATGGTGTCTATGGACAAGATATGATTTAGTGCTTGCAGACAAGCTTTAGTAAATACTGGAAATTTATGTCCTGGAGTCCTTTCATTTCCTGTCTCTTCCCTACCCTCCCTCACTGCCTCTCCTCCCTTGCTACGTCAGACTTCTGACCTGGAGTGACCAGGGTCCTAAAATGCCATTCCGTTCCATGGCGGGGGTGGTAGCTGGGGCGGGGGGACATTTGTGAGTGTCACTACCCCAGTTGAAAAGCAGGATATCTATCTCTAGTTTGGAGGAAGGGATAAGCAAAAGAAAATTGTCCTCATCAGAATTTTGAACTGATGCCTGTTGGCATTGAAATACATGTGACCGCAGAGCAAGCCAGTCCTTGGCCTTTGTGGTCTTTCACAACCCTCCCAGCTGCTCTGTAGAAGCTCAGCTTTCAAGAGAAGGACAGCATCTTTTAATCGAATTGAAAAGTTGCATACCATTCCTTTCTCAGCCCCGTCTTTGAGCAGACCTCCTGTTACTAAATTCGAGCTCCATCCAGCATTTTAGCCACTAAGGAGATCTCCCCCCACTGAGTTCGAGCAGTTTGTGCTTTCTGTCATCGTGTCTGAAAAAAGGGACAGATCATGAATTTATGTCTTGAGGCAAGTTGCAGTCCTAATGGCTCGTGAGGCAATCGGTACAGTCAAGATGTCGCTTCTCCCTTTGCCTTTAAGAATAGAGACTCGGGGCTGTTGTTCACCACAAACTTGTGAAAGACAAAGCTTCTTGTAACAAATTTTGAAGAAAAAATAATGTATAGAATCCTCTTTTTCATTGTTAAGAAGTTGGTGCACAGTTGAGCTGAGTTCGTATTTAAAGAATTGTCTGGCTTGCTTTTAAAATCCAAAGAATGTTCTAGTGATAGTTTTCCTTAATTCAGTTAAACTGACAGCTCTAAAACACGCCTGTGTGGCCCTCATGTGCGTATCAGATTCATGCAGCACCAGACCACTGTGGCTGCCTTCATTATCTCTTGCTGTGTAACCAGCCACCTCAGAGCTTGGTAGTTCTCGAACAACATCAGATCAGAGTTTGGTGGAGCTTGGTTTTGCTCCGCTCACCGTCCTTTGGGGCTGCTATGCTTGGGGTTGGCGTGTCCATTTGGACGATGGCTGGCAGTGGCTCAGTCCGGCAGCCTTGGTCCCACTCCCGGGGCTGCTCAGGCTTCTTCACAACATGGTGGTTGGGTTTTAAGAGAAGAAAGCAGGTGCGCAGTGCTTTAATGATTTAGCCTCAGAAGTTATTGAATGTAACTCTTTCCACACTCTCTCGGTTAAGTCAGTCACAAAGGCCCACCAGAATTCAAAGGAAGACATTGATTCTACCTCTGGCTGCGCGGGGGGGGGGGGGGCAGCATTCTAGAAATATTGTTGTACTCACCTTTTGAAAACACTGTCTGCCTCACTAGCTGATTACGGTCCTTCCTTAACGTGTGCTGTGAAATGCTAAAATGCCATAGGCCTCTTGGCTTTTAAAGGGTCCTTACATTTGGGTCTCTTTGGATGAATTACACATGCTACCTACCCAAGGTGCTTGCCTTCAATATAGGTTTCCCACACGTCCATCTGCACCAGATCCTAGCTTTCAGAGTTTCCCCATTGTCCAAAATTAGTTACACTTAGATGGCACAGTGAATTGAAGGTGATATACCAAGAACTTGGGAATCTGATAATAACATATGAAATAATAAAAGGTAAATAATATTTTTGATGGGTGAATGTCCAGCTTTGTGGAGAGAAATTACCAGGTGTTAGCCGGAACACCACCTGACCGCTAGTGTTGTTCATGGCACCTTCCAAGTGAGCATTTTTCACAAGGGAGACCTTGATTCCATCCAGACATGCTACTTACTGTCAAACATTGACTCCCTGCATACCTTTCAGGTCAGAGTTAAATCATTAAAGAGTACAAAGAGATGTAAACACAAGCAAGTGAGCATTTTATAAGAATTCATTGTTTGTCTTGAGTAATTACTGCTAAACACAGTTTAAGACTCAGACCAGAGTTGAAAGAAATGGCTGTATTAAAAAGACATTAAATAAATTGGAGCTGGAACTTTTAGTGTTAAGGGAGGTTGAGTGAGAACTTTTTATGCACTTGTTTATTAAAATATGTTTGCAGACTTAAGGGCTCTAGGGATAGAGATGGGGAGTTTAAATCTTGTATGGTGTTCACTGAGTTTCAGCATATTTTTCAGGTTGTTTTGCAAAAACACTTGTTGAGCACGTTGGTATGAAGAACCTGAAGTCCTGGGCTAATGTAAACCGTGGTGCCATTATTCTTTCTAGGTATGTATGATGTGCGCCTTTCTACGCAGGGCCCCCCTCCTGAATGCCTATTCACGCAGAAGGTGCTTCCTTCTCCTTCTTTCTCGGTTCCGATCTTTGTTCCTAATCGTTCACAGTCACTCAGGGTCTAGACAAGTGTACCAAATAGAGAGAACCAGGCCTAACTTTTCCAGTCAGTCCTTACTCATCTGCCCTCTTCTGGATTCAAGGATTGTAAAGTTGTGACATTCACAAGGTCTCATTTGGTTGTTTTACCCCATTCATGGTTTCAACCAAAATATAATTGTATTCTCTCTCTCTCTCTGTCTCTCTCCCACTCTCAGGAAAGCTCTTTACATATGACTAATTTATAGAGATCCCTTTCACTACCTCCTTTTCCCCCCAGATTATGGAGCCCTCCAACACCCGGTTATTATAAATTATATAATTCATAGGACTTGCCAAGCATATGTGTTCTGGCGCTTTATTTTTGCCATTATTAATTACTTATCTCAAAAAAAGAGATCTGTACCAACTGGTTCACCTAATGCACTTAACATTTGTTTGGCTTAAAATAAACATTATGAAATAATAAGCCATTAGTTCAGCTAATATCACAATTCCTAACTTGGTCCTCCTTCCTGTAAGCCTATTGCAACCCATTTCCACCATCCTGAGAGACAGATGCAGAAGAGACCACATCACTTTTTGTTTTGTTTTTTTTTTCCTCTTCAAAATGTTGTTTTATTATTATTACCACCTTTTGATCTCCTTTACACCTATCCACACCTTCCCCCGGACCCTCCCCCAAACACACATACTTCCTGCCTCTGGCAACTACCAGTCTCTTCTCTATATTTATGAGCTTGGTTGGTTTTGGTTTTTTGGGGTTTTTTTGTTTTGTTTTCTTCTGTTTTGTTTTTCATTAGATTCCACATATAAGAGGGGCACCTGGGTGGCTCATTTGGTTAAGCACCTGCCTTCAGCTCAGATCGTGATCCTGGGGCCCTGGGATCGAGCCCCATGTTGGGCTCCCTGCTCCGCAGGGAGTCTGTCTCTTTCCCTCTGTCCCTCCCCGCGCTCATGTTCTCTGTCTCTCTCAAATAAATAATATTTTTAAAAAAAAATTCCACATATAAAGAGAGATCATACAATATTTGTATTATTTGATGGTCTCACCATGTTTATGGTTTTGACCAAAATTGTAACTGCGTTCTTTTTAATGGATTAGCCTTGTCCCTATGAAAACTGTGACAGAGTTGCTTTTTAAATCATGACTGACTTTACATGCAATTTTCTTTTGTGATTTCCACGTATTCTTAAAAGGATTCTAGAGGCATTTGCTAGTGAAGTCTGCAAGCTAATTGTTTATTTCTAATTAAAATGGTAGAAAAATGATGATTTGTGAATCACGGCATGCGCTCTGCTTGTTTATTATTCTCCAGACAGAGTTATGTAGAGTTTATAATTCACAGGTCATTGAAACTTCAACTTCCATGTGTTCTATTTCTGGATGCGAAACCCTTCTATTGACAACATCCATTTAAAATAGATTTGTTTGTGAAGCAATCACTGTTGATTTTTTTTTCCCCTGCTGTGTTACCGAGGTTTGGAAAAAGAGATACCAATCTTAAATTTGAATTTCCCACAGTGTTTCACGTACAACAAGCCATGCAATTTAATCTACATTGTTTGTAAATGTTACAAGTCTTTATTCAGTATATAATTTGACTTGGAACACATAGACTCACAGATACACTCGGGCATTCATTTCTTTGGGTAGATCAGGATCTCCAAATATGTGGGTGGTGCAGATCATTTTGTTCATTTCTCATTGAAATTAGCTAATTTTCCAGTTGATGTTGAATAGTCAGAATCCTTTAGCTGAAACATGGATGTATTTAATGTGAAGTTTTTTACCAGGCATTTAGAGTGATAACATGTACTACTGACATATCCTTTCATTAACACTCAGTTAACTAAAAATTTCAGCCATGCCATGCAATTAATTTGTAGAGCTTGCTCATTGATCATAGCTCCGTTTGGGTGGATTTCAAACATCAGAAGGCTATTGCAGGTTTATTATGGAACACTACTTAGAGGTGGACCACTGGTATTTGAGGTTCTGAAGGGAAGTTGAACTACGGATGACTTAATACTTGATTAATACAATAATCAGTGTTATGTGGTTTTAGAATACTGTCACGTGCTTGACTTGTTTGGTAAAATTCTCTGCTTATTTATATTTTACTTCAAACTCATGCAGTGTTTTTCCCCTGTAAATCTTTTTTACAATAAGTGAAAAGGCATCCTGGGTAAAAAAAAAAAAAAAAAAAGAGAGTTTCAGCCTTGTATGCAGTCTGAAAAATGACTCAGGGAAACAGAATTCTCTAGCATTTAGAGCATCATGGGCTCTAGGCTCACTGCCTGGGTTCTAGTCCCAGCTCACTGTGTGGTCTTGGGCAAATTATTCAGCTGTTCTGAAACTTAGTTTTTTTGGTTAGAAAACTGGATTTGGGATCATCACAAGTCGTTGTGCAGACTGCATGAGATGGTGGATATACCGTGCTTAGCATTACGTCCAGTGCGTGTGTCCAACAAATACTAACCTTTATTACTGCTGTGCATTATGTCACTATGTGCTTAGCCAGTACAGAAAATAAAAACTGCCTGGTGAGTCACAAACCTGTTAAAAGGGACTTGTAACAACGTTCTCGGCTTTGCAGGTGGCAGGCTGTACTTGTTGCTTGTCTCCCACAAACAGCAGGATGCTGCCTGGTGCTGCTAACTCACCCTCCTCTCTGTGCACGTGATGGAAGGTCTTAGGACCAGGGACTTTGGGAAATGCCATGTGATTTGGTTCTAGGAGGCGTTTCAGAGGTCAGCATTAAAATGTGGTCGTGAAGATGGGGGAAACCAGGAGACTCAGCCCTGGCATTCTACAGTCAGGCCCCTGTGTCCCAGCCCCTGTTTAAAGAGAAAGGGACCTTCCTGTTACCAGCCTGCAGGACTCCACTGGACTCCATTCACTTGTGGAGATAGTGCTTTCTAGCAAGGTTTCAGAAAGCGGAGCTGAATTGTTTATTTGTTTTAATGGCTCACGTTTATTGAGTGCTTACTAAGGGTCAGGCTCTGTGTGGTTGCTTTAGGTATGAGATCATCTGAGCCTCAAAAACGCTCTGAGATAGAAGGTGGGTTGTGTTGCTGATCCCATTCATAGGCAGGAAACAGTCTTAGAGAATTCAAATAGCATGCTCCTGCTTGTACAATTACTGAGTGGCAGAGGTAGATTTCACATCCAGGCCATTAGGCTCCAAGGTAAAGCTGCTTACCCCTTCCCATGTTTTAGCTACAGAGTTGAGGAGGCTGACTCTTCCCTGCTTCCCTGGCGGGCCCTCCGCCTTCCCTTTGCACCCCTCCGCTCCCGCTCGTTTGGTCACATGGCACTTCTTGGCCATCTGCTCTGCACGTGTGCTGCCACGAAATCAAGAAATAAAACCCAAGGTTTCTGTTCTTGAGTTCATCTGGGTGGGGAAGGGAAGATAGAATACATGCAGGAAATACTTCTAAGACAGGGTGTTAATCACAGTGAATGTTGGACCAATCCTGTACAGAGCGGAGTTGCTCCTACATGGGAGCAACTCCCCCAGCAAGATTAGAAAAGGTTTCCTGTTGATGTGGTTTCAGAACGTAGGCTACCAGCCCCTATCATTCAGCTGGAGAATTCAAAAGATGTACTACTTATAATTACAAGACTTGGCTCACAAATCAGTGAATTGTTTATACCTTGTGTGGTGATAGTAATTGCAGATGATTAGGGGGTTTTTATGAAACATGATTTTTTTGTTTATTAATCTTTGTCTTCTCTCTTCAGCCTCCTCCAGAGTTCCGATCAAGAAGTTGCACACAAAGTCAAGGCTGGACTGAAAGGCCTCATTCCAGCACTGGAAAAAAACAAAAACACCAGCAAAGGAATAGAAATGCTACTTGAAAAACTGGCCGCATAGTGGACCCAGTTAAGAACAAGAGAGAATCATTTTTCCTGTCCTCTTTCCCAGTGTGGAGAGGTCGGGCTCAGGTCCACCTCCCTGGGAATCTGGGTGCTCTGTATAGGTTTCTTTTTTGTATAAGAGGTCTATTTATAAAACAATTTCTAAAAATGGTCTTTTTTTTTTTTTTTTTTTAATCCCAGCCAAGTCTTCTATCATACTGAGTAGTGAGCAGATCAGATGTGAGGCGGTAATGTAAGATTTTAACCGTCCTAGACAGTGGGACCAACCAAATACATACCACGTAGGAGCCTGAGTTGATTCAAGAGAGACGACGTCTTCAGAAGCAGTAGTCTGAGAAGGCTTCATGGAGGAGGTGGGGCTTGGGGACCTTGAAGGAAGGCAGGGCTTAGCAAGAAGGAGCCCAGGGTAGTCTGTGGTGGGGCAGAGGTGAAAGTGAATATTTTGCTTGGGGGAACTTCCGGTAACCTTGGGGCCTTGAGGGCTACAGAGAGGGGGATACCCTGCAGCCAGAGCAGCCGCCTTCCCCGCTGCCTTAGGGATTGGGTTCCGGGTTAGATTTTGTTTGAAAGGCCCTGGGTAAGGAAAGGCTCCTAGGGGGACATACGCTACAGAAATGAGGGCATCACCGTGGTAGCGGTGTTAAGATGAAGGTCACTGGGAGAATCTCCCTATCTCTGGAGCGGGGCCTTCCAAGGAGATAACCCCCTGTGATAACACTTTCTCCCTTGAGACTTTGCCTGAAATAGTTGAAGCCTTTACAGGGTCTTCTTTAGAAGAAAGGAGATGCACATTTGTTAATAGTGCTGCAGAAGTTTAAGTGTGAGGAGGATGTTTGAATTTTCAAACTGTGCTTGGTGGTCAGCAGTCCAGTGTGGAAGGGTTGGGAGACTCCTCAGGGCCCCTGTAGCCCCCACCTGCTTGGACTCTAAGCCTCGGGACTTTCTCTAGCCCGTGGGACAGGACGCCCGTCTGCCCCTGCTCTCCACCTGCTGGAGAACTGTGCCTTGTTGAACCAGACTGCGCGGCCCAAGTCCACCCCCCACATACAAGATGCTGGCATCCCTTCCTCCCCCCTCTTCTGCGGGGAACATGGAACCTACCCAGGGAACAGAAGAGCTGATACCTGTAACTGGGCTTTGCTTGGAGCCTCAGGCTGGAGGTGGGTTGGGGTGAGGAGGTGAATGGGGGAAAGGCCACATCAGAGCTTGCTTTTGTTTGACGAATAGATTGTGAGTGTGCCATATAAAGGGCGTGTTCAGAAAGCGGAGAAAAAGCCCTACTATTTGTTCCATCTAGGAGACTAAACAAAGTACCATACATCATTTTAAAATTGGAGCAGAACCAAAGCAGCAGCCCTTCCTCCGCACCCCTGCTTTGCCCCACCCACCCAGAAGTAAGGACTTCCAGTTCTTTTCAGCTCTGCTTAGTTTGTAAATGCAGATGTGGGTTTTTGTTGGGTTTTTTTGTTTGTTTGTTTGATCTGTTAGTTGTAGGCATTTTCTTTTGACTTCTGTTATAGGAAAATATAGATTAAGACTTTTCACTGCCCTGGGGGGCACCTGGGTGGCTCAGTCGGTTAAGCATCTGCCTTCGGCTCAGGTCATGATCTCAGGGTCCTGGGATCGAGCTCCGGAGCCCCACATCGGGCTCCTTGCTCAGCAGGAGGTCTGCTTTTCACTCTCCCCCCTGCCCCTCCCTCCCACTCCTGCTCTCAGTCTCTCTCCAATAAATAAATATCTTTAAGTCATTGGTGGATTTTAAGGAGCCTGGCCAGTGAACCTTGGAAGTGGTGTTCCTGGGAAAGGTTTCTTAGACCACAGACCCCCCAGGAAGAGTCCCTCTCCTGCCCACCAACCTTAAATGTGCTGACGATGCTTTGAGCTGGTGCAGTCTTGCGGCCGTGGTAGAAGAGAGTGTGCTGATTGACGGCTGAGCCAAAGGTGGGAAGTCGAGCTGCGGGTAAATCAACACCTGGAGTTGTCCTGCTGGATGTGCGGTTAGGTGAGACAGTAAGCCCATTTATCAGGCCGTTTTGAATTGGATCTTGAGAAACTGGCAGCCGAAAGTGTGCTGACCTGACTATCTCTGAATCTTAATTTACACACTAACACATTGAGTCAACTGGCATTCCTGTTTTTCCCTTAAACAACCTTCCTGGAGCCAGCTGGCTTTCTGGATGTCCTGAGGAACTGCGGTACAACCACCACCATCATCCTGGGCTTTCCCTCCATTTCTCCTATGGAAAGCCCATTTCCAGGACCCCATACATTTCTCTTTCTTATTTAACACTCTCTTGAATGAGGCACAATCTGTAATAACCTCCAATGAAAGAATGCAGATAAAATTTTAAAGTCCACATGTCTTCATTCACACCCTTTCACACCTAGGTACCTAGTTTAGCTGGATATAGAATTCTGGTTTGAAATTAATTTTGCCTCAGAATTTTAAGGACATTGGTCAATATTTTCTTTGATGTAGAGTTGCTATGGAAGCCGAACGCCATCCTTATTCTCAGTTTTTTTGATATGTGGACTTTTGCAGGGGGCAGGGCTTCTGGGGGAGGTTAGCACTGTTTCTGATCCCCAGCTGCCTTATCTTGCAGGAAACTGTGTGTTGGTATATGACACATGTCTGTTTTCCATGCTTCATGCTGGGCGCTTGGCAACGTTGTAGAAGACTTAGGCTCTTCCATTCTGGGAGTTGCATTATTCCTCTGACTTTTTTTTTTTTTTCCCCTGTTTCATTCTTATTTGGAAGTCCTGTTAACTGTGATTTTGAGTGCTTGGTTTGATCCTCTAATTTTTACTTCTTGGGCTTTGGCTTTTTGCTTTGCCCAGAAATGAGTGACATATTTCCTCTGCTTCCTCCACCAGCCCTTCCACGGAAGTGTCCTTTTTTTGTGCCTTGGATGTGCTTATGTTTCGGGATGTTGTCTTTTATGTTTATTTTACTTCATTGTGTTTTACTTTGCTTTGTCTCTCGAGACTGTTATCTGCTCTTTGTTTATCTTGGTCTCTGTCCTGTGTTTGAGGCTTTCCTAGAGAGATCTTTGGCTCTCCCTCTATATTTCAGACACTGGCAACTGATGAGAAAGGGGCAGGTGTTTACCTCTTCTCTCCTGCAGAGGGTTCACTGCACAGGTGTGGAAGCTGCTGTTTCACCAAAGCCCTCCAGATGTCAGGATCTGTTGGCCTTTCATCTGGGGCCTTTCAGTGCCTCTGGAGAGAGTCCACCCGGCAGCCAGTATTCTGGCTGCTCAGCACTCAGGGCGCAGATTTGAGTTAACCCAGCGACTTACAGTAAGGAGAGCGCCTCTCCCTCATGCTGTCTCGTTCCTGGGCCCCGAACCTGGAATAATTGAACCCGTGTAAGTCCAGAAAATACACTGTCGGCCTTCTGCCAAGATACAGAGTGGTAGTAAACCAGTTTGGGGCAGTCCCTGTTTTCCACCCCAGGCATCTCCGCAGTACTTAGAACCTCACACTGCCAGCATTTTGTATCTATCGTAGTGAGAATTCGCTTGCTCCCCACATGCACTTGGCATTCACCTTTCTCTGCCCTGCCTCTTTCTTCACTGCTTTCTGTTTTTCCAGATTATTTGTTGCTAGTGCTCACTCACCGATAGCTTTTCTCCTCTTTACTCTGTTCTTGTGAGTTTGGACCATTTTTATTCTTAGCAGAAATCTACAAATGGTTTTAATCAAACCTAAAGCATCCGGGCTGGCGGAAGGGTTTATTTTCCACAGAGAGAGCTTGATTTGAGAATGTCTTTAATTTCCAAATAGAGCTTTTTGCAGTTCTCAGATTGCACCAACCCCATGCTTTTCCCTGGAATCAGACGTTGCCTACAGGGAAGGAAGAACCTTGTTTTCCTTTTAAGCCTGGGGTGCTGTGCGTTTGCATAATGGAATAAGGACTCTTGCAGGAAATGGCTTCCTGCATGCTCACTCTCAGAGGGTTGGCTCTTACATGAGATGGCACTTGTCTTACTATTTTCAAAGAAGTTTTGAAAAGATTACATCTTACAAGTCTTGGAAAGATGAGGGTGTTTGTGTATTTTTAGAATAAGCACAAATTCTCAAAAACAGCAGTTAATACTGAGCCACTATCCATAAACATTCTATACCCAAACTAATGAACTAAACAAATGCAAAAATCTGCTGCTTGAGCTCTTTTCTCACTTGTGACCTTGCTTAACCCAAGGAAACTAAGTTTATAATAATCTGTACCTGATACAGGCTGACTTCTCCTTTGAGTTTGTGTGTTAGATTTCTAACCCCCCTCCCCCAAGTGCCTCAGAATGTACCGTATTTGAAGACAGACCTATAAAAGGGTAAGTCAGGTAGAATGCAGTCCTAGGGGTGAACCCCAATCCAGTATAACTGGTGTCCTTACAAGAAGATGACGCAACCCACATAAAGAGAAGACCACATGAAGATGGAGAAGATCGTGTCTACCAGCCGAGGAAGGAATCTGGACAGAACCCAGCTTGCTGACCCCTTGATCTTGGACCTCTGGCCTCCAGTCCCGGGAGGAGATGAAGTTGTGTGGTTGAAGGTACCCAGTCTGTGGTATTCGTTATGGCCACCAACGAATCCATCTTTTCTCACCTCAGTTGAAAACCACCACCACCAAAGTGACCCAAATTCCCTAACCTTTTCCCCGGTGAGTTCTTAAAGCTTTTAAATGACCATTCTTACCCAAGAGTTAGAGCTTGCTATCTGGATCCCACGACCCCCACGACTTCTCTGAGCAGGAACTAGATAGCCACTCTGCTCTGCATTCCAAAGTGTGCAAACAGACCCTGATTGCTGTGTGCCTGTTTGTACCCCAAGCAGTGCCTCGGAAGACGCGCTGCTGCTTCCGCTCCCATCCCTATAAAGGAATAGTGTTTGGAATCTTTTATCAAAATGTTTTATCCAATTTTTAAACATGGATTCATGCCCCCTGCTGAATCTATGTGGACAAAGCTGCAAAAATGGGGTACTGAGAAATTTTGGTCCGTGCTCTTGTTCTGAGGGGAATTAATTATGTCTTGAGGGAGAATAATTAGTGCTGAGTTGTGCCCCCTGGGTGATGACCACTTGAATGGAAGGTGATAGGAATCTGGTAAGGTTATGAGAATCATCTGACAGTGTGCTCTTGAT